GGCGCCAAATTCAAATTTATATTACGAATCGAGCTTTTACCCAATTTGAAAAAAAATAACACTATGTTTATTATAAATTCAATATCTTTTGATAACCAATGCGAATATTTTGGGTTCAGTTGCACTTTAACATTACAAGTTTATCCCTTAGAACTGATCTTTGATTACGGAAAATACTATTTTGAATAGCTTAATCAAAGCAAGAATAATTGACCAAAATAATCTATTGCCTATGAATTTGGAAAATTCTTAGAAATCCTAACTTATTAGAAGTCATCACCATCTGCACACTTGTCACATAAATTACTGAATCTTCTGTTTTGTAACAAGATCTTTCCAAACAGTAAGAAAATGTGAACATTAAAGACCATTTTGAACAGATAGCTTTACATGTATATTCTAGCAGAATATGCAGTCTTGCTATTGTTAAATATGCATGCTAAATCGGCACTCGTACAGCATGCTCAAAACACAGGACATCCGCCGGTATGCATAAATGTTTTTGAAATTAGTGAAGGACACAACCATTACAGAATTAGAAAGGTGAAAGAAGCATTGTTTATCAAAGAACAAAAACCCTCACTTAATGAACAAGGACATAGCATCCCGTTGGGACTTCTGAACTAATGATAATAACTTGAACTTTGAATTATAATTCATTCTGATGATGATCACTGGAGAGTGATCGAAATATCAAACAAATAAATTATGCACAGAAAATGGCTTCTGGCATTTACTTTTATAATGCATGCCTATTGTATTTTATACACACAGGGACATACACACTCTAGATTCATACTACAAAATTCTGATCATAGCCCCCTAAACTACCAATGCAAATATCCTTCCAGTTATAGGCCCCCTTGATTATTAGCCTACCTATTGGCATTTTGTGTTCATTTTAATGATGTACATACATAAAAGATGACTGGGAAAATAATAGGAATCAATTAAAAAATCTCATTCTCCACTTCCCTTTCCAGTCAATCCCCCCCCCCTAAAATAAGCCCTCTCACTTTTAGCCCATCAAAAATTCCATATGGTTGAGTAAAGACCCCTACAACCAGTATTCTACCATTCACTGGCTCCATCACAAGCCATTGCTATCTGACTCCATTATATTCTTACACTTTGGTCTTAAACCTCTCTGTGTGTCCCATTCACTGCCACAACCTTTTCTTACAGTCTCAGTATTCACATAACCAATCAAACAATGCTTATATTCAAGGCCACAGGCTAATGTACTTTGAATGAAAATTATTGTTCACTAAAAAACAAACTATTAAGTTCAATCTCAAAAATTGGATAAGAACTCTCCTGTTCAAGTTGTCTCAACATGTACATAATTAAGCATGGCAGGTTTCATCCAAATGTTATTTTCAAGTGTAATGCTTCCATACACAACACTAAACTGTGAGTATTTTGTAAACAATGAAATGATATTCAGAGAAAGCAAGCAAATCAAATGTTTAGATCCAAAATGTTTCAGTTTTGATGAGCAGCACTCACTCATGAAACCTGTTTTGCTTAAGAATATTTGCTATCTTCATGTGCAAGAGTAATACACATAACATACCAGCAAATACAGCTATCAAAAAGACTGGGGGAGCAGAGTAAATCATTCATAATCATCTCCAGATATGGTTACTTGCCTGAAATTAAATTAAAGGAAATCATTATTCATGTATTGATCTATATCAAGACTGATTCCATACAGTATGACCTCTTTGCTTAAGCTAGGTCCCTAGGGTTYGTTAGCCAAAACAAAAAAACTATATTACAAAAGAATAATCCACTCATACGAATGGGGTCCACACTTCATGCATAAATTAAGCACACGCTAACAAGCAGAGCCCGTCCATTTCCCGCAGGTGGGGACCCTGAAAAACTTCTGGCCTGTACTGTAGCAATGTTTTGCTTAAGAATGTTTGCTATCTTAATGTGCAGGAGTAATGCATGTAACATACCAGCAAATACAGCTATCAAAAAGACTGGGGGAGCAGAGTAAATCATTCATAATTATCTCCAGATATGGTTACTTGCCTGAAATTAAATTAAAGGAAATCATTAATAATGTGTTGATCTATATCAAGACTGATTCCATGTGTCAGTCGAGTCCATTGCTTAAATTAATGTCTGCTCAATTGACAGCCTTGATGACCAGCCAAAATAGTTTTGGATCAGAAATCACAGAAAACATCCTTCGATCCACAAAGCAAAAAATATTAGAGAAAAATTCCAAAGAATGGGGAAAATGAGAGAAAACTATAAAACCAAGACTTGGGAAATTAATGAGATCAATTTTTATGGACAACAATTGCCCTATTTCACTATGAAGTCACTGCTTGTTTATGTGGGGGATAGAATCGCCAAATCCAATTGAAAATTCAACAAAATTTGCTACTAGTGAAAAAGTTTAATCCAAAATGGCCTGGTTTTCAGATATAATATGTGTTAGTATGTATTAAAAAATATTCTGAGAGTTTGCTGGCTATTCTACCTCTCTTTGTGGATTGATACGGGTTTTAGAACAATTTTTGGTGAATTTGCGTTGATCTGACCCCCTCTGACGACCATGATCCTTTGCGTTTGAACAATAGATTGTTTTGTTGTGAGGTCATAGTGAAATATATAGGGCAATTACCCCAATAGTACGTATTAATGGTTGCTAAAATAATATACACCTAAAATAGTTTTATAACTAAAGATTCATTTATAAAGGTTAACTTAAAGGCACGACAGCCAACAGTAAAAATGGGATGTCACTAGTTATACAACCACAAAGGAGCAAAAACTGTGAACTATAGAAGCATTTAAATAATATTTTGAAGCAAAAACTTGAATTATTTTCATTTTAGCAGAGTTTTTGCAAGCAATCATATATTTCTACATTCTAGAAAAACTCAAATTTCACACATCTCTAAATCGATAAATCAAACACTTTCCCTCAACATCTGTAATTTTCCTATTGATAATTTATTTAATTGCTGAATGATTCATGAAATGAAAGGCATATTACACCAATTATTTGTTATTTATTTAGCTTTTCCTGCAAGTAGGATTAGACAAAATGACCTTTATTTGTATTGCTATATTTGTGTTGCTAAATTGAACAGCTTTTCTTGTGGTCTCAAGGCTTAAAACATACATTTTTCAATCATTATTTGTGGCTGCTGCCTCATCGAGGCGAAGCCACTATGTCATCGAATTGTGTAAGTAAGTCTGTAACAATAGATAAACTTCGGAACCAATCACGACTTAAATATTAAAATTTCCCTCTCACCGAAGAGTAAGCGATGCGACATCAAAGAGATGAYGACAAATGGAACCACGTAGTTGTACTTGGTCAATAGTACGGTGTACATTGTTTAAGACAAGTACAGTAAGCCGTGTTTTCATAAAATTCAACCATGTTATTTATCACAGCTTTCACTTGGTATTTCTAGTCATGCAACAGTTGCACAGAATAAAATCAGCATAACACAGGAATCCCAAATTAATCAGTATCAACATTTAATAAAAACCAATACCGAAACCTTTACTTTCAACATTTTTTTTAGCAACACTGCTAATGCAATTACCTATATATCCTTCATATATCTCAATAGTCAGCTACCAACTTCCATTCCTTTCATGTATAAAAGCCATGTTACACTTGTCACTATTTAAACAATTAAAAATACATATCTTTTTAAATTGCATGGTTATCCATTAAAGAACACGCGTATAAATAGGTAAATTACGAGCCTTAGATGAGCCTTATCCATTGCATTTTTAAGGAATATAAAACGCACAAGCATGTCTCTGTACTGTGATATAAACACGCTATTGTATATTTTCTATAAGCTTAATTCTTCAAAAAATATATTGCCACAAAACAAACCCAAAAATAGCGTTGGGTTTTATGCTTTCTAGGGAGGGGTACGTGAGTACACGTTTTTGTCTTCAAACTACGAAGAAAATAAGTTTAAGAAATACTTTCAAAGACATTGTAAATTGAACAAAGATATCTGAAAAAGTATTAATAACCTTCTTTAGGCCTGTTCAACGATTAAAACCCATTCTACGAACACAAAATGGATGCTTGAAAACAAGTTTTACAGCGACGAGCGACTTCACACGTGTCACAATTAATGGTCGCTAATTTAACGACAAGACCACAAATATCAGAAAAAAAGCCTTACAGAGAAGATAAAACATTTAAATTCAATATTTTAAGGGTTCTTTTAAGGTTCTGAACGTTTCTTACCGTAAAGAAATAGCAATTTTCATCTCCCTTCAAACTCTGCCATCTTGTTCATGTGTATCGCATACCCATAAAACCTTGCGCGATTATACTCAACGCTTTCGACGCGGAACGGAAGAACTGCGGAATGGCGGAATATTCTAAAACGCGGAATACACGAAGAAATATATATCACTTAATATGATAATACTAATAACATAAAATAGGTACGGTATTTAAAAACTCGCAATTCTGAACTCCAGTGTATACCAATAAATGAGTGTATGTTAATAAATAAATGAGTGGACCGCTTCTTTGAAATAATACATTCTTGCAGCTGTCGCTTTACTCACCTCATCTGGCAAACATCAATAAATAGACACATACACAAGAGTACTACATCACGGGCGGAGAAGGACTTTATAAAATACTGTAAATATATGTAATTTGGGATGTGAGGGGGCTGTGAGACGCACTCTACGCCCGTGATAGTCTTTTTCATCAAAGCACACCATTCTATCACAAGCCAAGCCTATTTTTCTTTATTCTTCCAGTTTTTCATATCACAAAGCAATCGTACACGAAACGGAGGCTGATGATGTGGATGGATTTCTAACCACTATATGTCATTATAGACGAAGAGAATAGCAACAAGTTTGAGAAGACATTTGGATTTCTAACCACTATGTCATTATAGACGAAGAGAGTAACAGGGTACCCCTTTCAGACTCCCAGCGGACACCCATACCCAAATGCTGGCGGAGTACCCCCCCCCCCCCGGGGTATTTTCATATAGGAATGACTATCTATCCCATCTCATAATAATGTTGAAGTGTTAAACGATTCGGAAGGACTTTTTTTTCAAATTTGTTTGTTAGTGCAATCTTAGAATCCTATACTCGGCATTCTTTCCTTGCAACCGAAGTCTTTGTCGTCGAAGTTTGTCCACAAATCGATCCCACAAGTCTTTGCTTCTATATCTATGTTTGTTATAAGTAACCATGGAATACTGACGTCATATATATTAGAATTCTAGGGCGAAAAGAATTGGCACTTTCTATGAAAATACAAGAAGAACATTCACTGCTATTGGATGATGAGCGTGTAGGGAATAAGAATATAGATAACTAAAATAGACTGAATCAACGTAACAAAAATGCATCTGAAACCCTTCGCATAAACATGCATGAATAAGAATATTATCTACAATGTGGGAAAAAATAATCAAATATTTCTTTCAAAAGGTGGGATTTGAACCTAAGTCAACCAACAGAAATTGAAAAAAAAAAAAAAAAAAAAAAAATTCAAATTTCCA